ACTCATACGAAGTGATTGATTTACTGATTTTATTAAATAGAACTTCAAAGAGGATTTCAACGAGGTCGTTTGCAAAATTCTACTTTCCCAACTGCACCGCACTCATTTGGATTGCATTTTCATTTACAAAAGGGGACAGACAGTGGGAAATCATAATATCATTAAGCCCTGATGATTAATCAGATTTGCATGTATGATCGATCCAGTGCCGTCCGTACAAGAATAATTATCAGATAATTTCCTGACAATAATTTATTACTCTTAACGAAATAACTTTTACTGTATCATATGTTGTAAAGTAAAATGTGACACGATGTCGCGGATAACGGAGAGAGAAATAATACCTCGACGAATGGAGAACAGACGACAATTATGTATAATAATAAATAAGGGGGCGCGTTCGAGGAACAATAAACGATAAACAGAAGTGCAACATCACATTTTGGCGAAGTACACACACACACGCGCGCGCGCACACATACATACGTACACGAGGAAACTACGAACACAATCACGGGAGAAAAATTCACGAGTTAATCCACGTAATTGAACAATTAATTTGATTGATTGAACAGTGTGAGGAAGATAACACAGCGAATGACAATACAAATTGTATTGCGTTGATAAAAACACACGTAACACACACTGAGAGATATACAGGGTGATACTAAACGAAAATGATGGGACGAATTTGTGGGCGTAAGGTGAAAAAAAATGGACCGTTTGGATTTTTCACTGTTACACTTAGCGAGTCAATGTTAACCAAGAAATTAGAAGCAATACGGCTTAATTAATATTCTGATTTTTATTAAAATCGTTAAAGAGAACAAATATTTAATTATGATAATTTATAATAATTATATTTTTACTTCTCGCGTAATGAGAATTTGCAGTATGAATCATAATCACTTCTTATTTCTTTGTTAACGTTAATTCGCAAACCGACATATCCAATCAATTTTTTTCCACCGTATGCCCCTGTTTATTACGATTTTTAATATAAAAAATAAACAAGCAGATTTAAGACACTAACTTGAATCAACATACGCTTTGTTAATACGTAGTGAAACGATTATCACGTAATTACATCATCTCAGTATACATAAATTACATGCTTATTTAACGATAATTAATTATAATAGACATCAGTTGTTTTCATTGTCGCTGAAATTCATTTGTACAAAGGGTACCCGTTCATTGTTTCAGACGCGGTATTTAAGAAAAGAATTTTTCATGGATTATAAAATTTATATACATAATTATAAACGAATTAAAATATTGTATATAATGTACAGTACGTACGCTGCAAAAATTATCATAAAAATACGTATCTGTTTTATTAATCGATTAATCGTGTCTATACGTTTGATTATCGATTAGGTGGGAACTTCTCTTAACAAGTGTTTTGGTCAATTTTATTTTATACAAATTTTCATAGATACTTTTCGTGGCCGCTGTAAATTATATACAATAGAAGAAAAAAAAAATGAAACAATTTTTCAAAGGTTATCAATGAGAAGTTAATGTAAAAACCGAAAGGAAACGCAGTTTTTAATCGCACAATGCTTCGAAATTTCGCTGTATATAAACCACCAAGTCTATCTGTATCACTTGAAATAATAATAATTTCGCATGAACGAGGAAGCAACCAGTCATTATTATACCGATTTAAAAAAGACGAGTAAAAACGTATATAACAGGCAAAGCAATATTCATAAGAAAGGAAGAATAGAGTTTTTCACGTACATCTCCCTCCATATAGAAATTCCACATATCTAGTGAAAAGTGGTTGATAAAATAAATTGCTTGGGAAAACATTTTTAAAAGGAACAAGCAAGGGAAAAACGTTTGTCCTGTACATACATATTATTAATAACAAAATACACGAACACACTGACACACACACGCGCGCCCTGAATACCATCGCGCCGGGACCAATCAGACTTCCATTCGGTTTTTCCAAATAAAATTATTTATTTTCGGTTATCAAGTTTGTGTCCAATAAATGTATTAACAAACACGATACTGAAACAATTACAGGAGTGTAAAATGAATCGAAGCATAAATTGACATATAAACAGTTCGATAACGAAACACGATAGGGAAATGATTAATAATTAAACGACGCCTATTTATAAAACTTGCTTCGTATTAATGATTTCTTTAAATATATTAAAAAAACTGGAAGGAAATAAAAATGGACAAAAATCGCTGACTAGAAATTTTTAAAA